GAGGTTGTGCGTCCGGAGCAATATTACACAAATTAATAATAGAATGCATTGCTTTATTGGAAGATGCAGGATTTTATGCTGATGTTGTAGTCACAGATGGTGCATCATGGAATCGTACAATGTGGAAGAAATTTGGCGTGGATGAACATACATGTTCCTGCCAAAATCCCGTAGATGATACTAGACAGTTATGGTTTGCATCAGACTTTCCGCATCTTATCAAATGTTTCCGCAATCGTGTTGTTCAACAAAAGATCATGACGGTAAGAATTGAAGACAATTCGTTATTAAAAATACATAAATGAAATGCATATATTTCTAAATAATGTTATTTGATAACATTATTTGATAATATCATATAATCTTATTTTCAATATTTTCAGACGCCAGATGGAGTCATTCGTACAGCGCATTGGGATGCTGTTGTTGAAAAGGATAATTCCAAATCTTATACGTTGAAAGTTTGCCACAAGCTAAAACATGCACATGTGCATCCTAAACCGTACCAAAAAATCAACGTTGCAATGGCTTTTCAGGTGTGTATTACGAGTGTCAAAATTATTAATTTATATTACATTATTTAAAAAAATTAAATGTATACCTTTGTACAGTTTTTTAGCCATTCAGTTGCAACTGGAATGCGCATCTATAAAAATCAAGTTCCTAATTTACAAGATTGTGAAGGTACAATCGCTTTCATAGAACGCATGAATGCGCTGATCGATGTGATGAATGCAAGATCACCCTTAACTGCCATGCGAAACGGCACTATCCAAAGACAGGTAGGCTTATTTGCAAATATTAATTGAATACATTTTGTGGATTTCTAAAAATTCCATACATATTTTGTCCATGATTTTCTAAATTGCTTTTTTCCAGATACTAGAAGATTTTCTCAAATACCTGCACGATTGGGAAGTCGCTACACGGAATAATAACGCATCTTTTATAACACCACAAACTAATGGTGGTTTAAAAGTTACTTTAACTACTGCGTTACAACTACATACATTTCTGACAGACACGTGTGGTTATGAGTACTTTATGACGTCTAGGATGAATCAAGATTCACTAGAGGTAAATAATTGTAAATATATTATCTTTAAATAATGTGTATTACAATCTGAACATGTACAATTTGGCTTCAGCGATTTTTTGGCATAATAAGAAACTCCTGTGGAAGTAACTGTCATCCAGATCCCTTAACTTTTGCACAAATGGTGCAAATGGTATAGGTTTACTGAGTGTCTATTCTTTAGTGCAACCTTCTCGTGGTTCCAACATTCAGGGGGGCGAAATTCTGCAGACATTAATTAACCAAAAAGAAGTTAATGACGTAGAGTAAGAATTAAAATCCTCTTTTTTGTCCAAAGTAGATAAAATTGTTGATGGTGAAGTAAACTTTGATCAAATCAATGAATTATCGGAAGGAACAGATCATAACTACCTCGATGTTCAAACATGTGATTTTGTGAAGTCATATGTATCCGGATATGTAGATCGCGGGTCTCGCAAAAAAATTTACGACATGCGAAGCATGTTTAGAAACACTCTTGAATGTCACCGCAAATCCATGCCCAGAACAAGATTTACTGATTACACTCAAAAGTCGAGGAGGACTTTTACACCCGTTCAATCAAATGTTTCGTTTATGTTCTGTTCTAGAAGATGCAGTGACCAAAGTGTTATCGTCTGAAAATATTAATAATAACACTCTATTTGAAGTGGTTGATTTACTCGAGGAGATAGAAATACCGAAAATAGGTTGTAAAGCTGATGAACATGTTTTAACTGTATCAATCGTTAAATTTTATTTAATAATGCGAATGCATTTTGCTTGCACTAGATTTAATGAGATAAATAAAAAAAACCGGGAAAAAACAAAAATACTTAGGAAACAATCTAAATTGTAGTTTTACAATGCTTTATTATATAAAATAAATTGTTATTTTTATTATATAAAATAAACTGTTATTTTTATTATATAAAATAAACTGTTATTTTTATTATATAAAATAAACTGTTATTCTTAACACCCAGTTCATTATTCCGTTTTTTGATGCATTCTAGTTTGTTTTGGCAATTAAAAACTACACAAACGCGTTTTATTATTTTCTACAATCATTATTTGATCGAAAAATTGTCGTCTGCTGCAAGGCGAGCATTGCGCAGATGCTGACGTCACAAACCGGAAAGTGTGGGTCGTCTCTGACGCCATATTGGCAATCGAAACTGGGTCCACTTTTCAGGCGATCGGCCTATGGAGATTTTACTCCTTCTTAATACTCCGTGATCTTTATACTACACACTAGAGTCCCTATAAGAGAGTCAAGACATAAGACCGGAAGGACGTCATTGCTGGGGGCCGGCCGGAAATAACACGTGACACAAATAGGCACGTTCGCGCCTGTTTGTACTATTACACCATGAAACAGTTGCTCACACCAATTCACAGATTCACTAACACATCGAAAGCGTCTAGAAATGGCGGCGACCAATCACGAGGCCGTCACCCCTCATGTCGTGACTCTCTTATAGGAACTCTACTACACACTAGAGACCCTCTAATCAGAGTCGCGATACGAGAACAGCCAATTTTGATTGGTTCGTCATTTTTCAGCAATTCCCGCCAATATTCGAATGT